CCTGCCCCACCTTCCAGCACAGACTGAGCAAACCCCAGACAGAGCTCCCTCTCCTCCCTTCCCCTCCTCCCATCCTGAAGACAGCACCAGAGCTGGGGGTGGGGTGGGGGGTGGCAGGGGCTAGAGGAGAGAGACTACAGACACAGCCACTCCAAACTGGAGCTTCATCCCCCAAACCCCTGGACCCAACAGTGAACATCTATTGTTGGGGGGGGCAGGGATTGCTGTAACTCATGCTGCTTCCTGTGAAGTGCCATGATTTACAGCAGGAAGCTGTATCTCTGTCAGTGCCCTTATTGAGGACTGTTTTGGCACAATAAAGGGAACAACTCTGATGAAAGCATAGAAAGGTATCACATAGACCTAAGCTGGATATTAATAAAGCAAAGAAGGAGCAGGCCAACAAAGAAGGTCGTAGTGATGTTCTATTTAGAATCCACTAAAGCATCTCCTCTCACTATTTGTCCCTGGCTAGTGAAGGTGTTTAATGCTAGTGAATATACCCATCAAGCAATCTCTAGCAGCATTTTAAGGAAGGCAAAAATTCAAGCAAACATTAGGTTTCTGCATTTGTTTTTATTTCCAGAAAAAATGCATATGCTAGTTCAAATGCAGCTAGAGGGAAATTTTCTAAGGCATGTAAGGGAATGACAAGCACAAGAACCCATCCAAATTGATCAAGGATTGCCCTTTACCTAGGCGTTGTGAATGCCTGCCTCACTAAGGCTTGGGTGATCCCATTCCTGCCACTAAAGTTGCCAGTTCACATAAGAGCTCACTAAATACAACAGACTTGACTCCTGACACTGAAGCACATTGGTAATGACAGCTCATTTTATGTTGTTGTTTCGGTTGTTTTTTTTAGCAACAATTCTTCCAGAACAAACCATTCTGGCTTCTCCAGGCCGTTGGTGCACTCTGTGCGGAGAGAGCGATACAGGGACTGGAGGAAGCCAGGCCGAATCATCAGGAAGGTATGAGTCTGCCTCACTAGTCCTTCGGGAAGCTTGGCCTGGGATACCTACTGATCCAGAAGCATGCTGTCCCGTGAGGTCAGCACTCCAAATGCTGCCTTGTTATCTCGCAGTAGCCAACATGAGAACAACATCTAGGCACCGTGATCAACCATTCTGTTCCTGAGACTGACCCAGCTTTGTACAGAGACTTCTGAGCCCGTTACAGCTGAAGAGAAAAGAATACCTTCTTCTTAGGATCCAAGTGCTGCTCACCAGTGATGAGAGATCGGGGAACAAATGCATCACAGCTGGCGGCAGAAACCAGCCAGAGGTGGGGTGAGATTTCTGGTTGCCATACTGCAAAGAGAAGAACAAGTCCACCCTTTATTTTTTTGATTGTAGATTTCCAGGAGGTGACTGTTCAGATAGCTAGATTAGTTCAGATGGATCTAGAGAGTGAAACCTATTGGAAGCAGCTTTTGACTGAACACACAGAGGGTGGTGAGAGTGTTGCTCTTTTACTGGAGTCTGCATTTTAAGCAGTGATATCATATTGTAGAGGCAAAGCATCTGTTTTCACATCCTGTAGAGTCAAATGAAGAATCTCTTGGAGGGATTGTCTTAATGAGCTATTCAGCTGTATTCAAAATAAAAACAGCTAGCTGCCTTAGTTGTTTAAAATAATATTTGGCATCAACTTAGCCCCTTTTCCAATTTGCAACTCACCTCTAGACATGATAGATGCCCACAGATTCATTATGCAGAAGTATTCACTAGTATGTGTTAACAGTGTTCAGTCAGTTGATTATTTGTAAATGGTTCACTTTCATGATGTTACCCAAGTCATATGGTGCTTGATATTACTAAAAGTAGAGAACCCAAACCACAAGTAGCAAATAACTCACTCTCTGATATAAATTCTCAGTGAATAACCTTTACTGCTGAAATGCTTGACATTCTGAAATGTTTGAAATGTTAGGTATTCTTAGAATTGTGGCCTTTTTCACAAATTCCTGGTGGCTGACCAAATACTCATGACTGATAAATAACAACCTCTTGAATAACAGAAAACCAAATACACTGTCCTTTTGTGAAAAGACACTAGTTTTACTATTTAACCACTTCTAGTTCTGAGGGGGAAACATGCAGTCAGATTGTTTTTTTCCCCACTGTCCAGGATTTGCTGCTCGTCCTTTTTTCAGCTACTCTTGATGGGAATTTAATTAGTGAAAATGTATGTAAAATAAGTTTTACTTAATTGTTTGTGCAATGCATGGTGGGACTGAGCCTGGCTGCAAAAGCCAAGAACCTCAAATCAGTTGAGACAAAGTAGTTCTGGAAACAGCTAAAAGCAACGTGCTTAGACTGTTTGGAGAACTGTTTTGGTAGGAAACCTTAGTGAACGTGAATGTCTTGTTCTGTTGACCATGCAATTCAGTTTATATGCTGTGTATACTTCTCCTGTTTGTCTTCAAATAAATTGTTTTATACAAAAGATTGTCTTCCTTTTCATCCTTTCCTTGCACATCTATGCAATTTTTTTGGTTCCTGTGTGCTAAGAGTAAAGTGACCATATTATTTCTAAGGAAATCCAGGACACTGTCCCCCACCCCAGTCAGCGACGCTGCTAGAGGCAAAGGCAAGTAGGCAGGGATGTGGGACACAATTTGGCAGGGAGGCAGAGCAGCATGGTTCACCAGGCAGGTGGGAGGGCAGGCACCGCTGCTGCTGCTGCTGTGCAAGAGCAAAGTAAGTGGACTGGAGCAGTGCCCAGGCTAACCCAGCCCCCATCTCCAGCTACTGCCTAGGAGGAGCCATGCTGGACACATGCAGCCAGCAGCAGCAGTGCCTGCCTGCCCACCTGCCTGGTGTACCATGCCACTCCGCCTCCCTGCCAGACTGCACCCCACACCCCTGCCCGTCTGCCTCTGCCTGCAGCAGCAGATTCCTGGACTTTTGTTTCGATTTTCACCAACCTGCCAGGATGGCATATGAAATCCAAGACTGTCTTGGCCAAACCAGGACATATGGTCACCTAGCTAAGTGCCAACACAAACTCTATGTCCCACTTTAGCCACACTGAAAGACCTAATATAGTACAATTCAATTACTTTGATTTAGGGTATGAGAATCTGGCCCTAGAAAAATGCATAATTATATAAAAAGATCCCTAAATCACTATTCATCGTCCCCAAAAGTATAAAGAGTGAATCTTCCTACTGCCTAAGGAGTGTTTGAGTAGCTTCTGATCTCTTCTTGCTAAAAGTTCTGAGCACCAACACATTGTGGGTACCTAATGCAAAAACCACAATTCAGCATGGCAGTCCAGTGTCCTATGCTCTTCTGCATAGGTGTTTATCCCCCGCTCAGCGCCACTGCACTGGAA